AAAATTGCAAACTTCACAAGGCTATATTATCCGCATTTTACAACATTTCGCAACGAAACTTCGGAATATTACTAATTTTGTGATGCTCTTTCAAGCTGTGATGAAATTTTTGTCTAGACTTGTCTAGATCAAAATTTTAGTTATAAAGTTAAAGGTCCATTGGTGGTCAACTTTAGAGCTGTTGAGTGTTGGCATTTTTATCAGAGTAAAATAATAAAGTAGGGCATGTTGGAGTGCAATGCAACTCAATGGGTTAACATTATTTTATTGCTCTGATATATAACTGCAGGTATTTTGGGTATGTCATATAGTACATTCTATTAATTGACATTAACATGTTTACTGATCATATTGCTCATGTAGAAAAATCGGGAACTCTATGAATTGGTCACTACTTTGCGAGATGATCTTGCTCAATGTGAACACCATATCAAAGAGTTGGAGTCAACATTAGCCAGTAAAGAAGATGATTTGGCTGTAAAAGTTAACCAGCTGACAAAACAGAACATGAAACTTGGGCGGTCAATGCAAGCCAAGCAGGTTTTCTCAGAAAAATTACTGAAGGAGAACAAGAGGCTCAATGAAATTGTCGATCAGCAAAAAGGGTTGCTAGTTGTAAACCGAGATATTCCTGATGGACAAGCCATTAAGGATAAAACTAATGTGAGTTGTACTCAATAAAACTATAATTATAGGCTTGATTGGCATATAGTTTTAGGGAAGAATTTTTCCAAGTCTGTATAAGTACCTAGTTCCTATAACATAGAACACATTTTGTGATTGGTTTTGTGAAACACGACCAGTGTTTAAATTATTAAATTCCATAATGAGTGAAATCATATTTTTCTCTTTTTACATAAATACTATATTAAAAAAAACAGTTGTATAATATATGTTGACAAATTATGTGCAAAAACAGAATGAAATGCTTGACCACAGCTGAGATGAATTTCCTGCATGCGCAATATGCAAACAAGCTCATGCCAACTCCGGTTCATTGCAACAAGTACTTCAAACTATACCCTTAGCAAGTAAAATTGTCTGGCGATACACAGAATGACAATCAAGTAAAATAGCAACTGCAGTGCAAAATATGCCACTTCAAAGGGTTAATACTGTATTGTGGATATAGCAATATGGAAATTTACTTATTTTATTTGTGAATGTATAATTTTGACTCAGGTGGATGAAAATGCAACTACTAGTGCAACAAATGCTATTTCAAATAAAGAGCAAGAAAAAATGGTGGAAGAGAAAGAGAAGGTTAAATCAGAGCAAACAGCGAAGATCAAAGACATGGAAAAGAAAATTGAAGGTTTATCCAAGCAAATAGCAGAGTTGTCAACTGAAGTAGCAAAAACAAATGAAGGGAAACAAAAAGTTGAATCGGAGTTGAGTGAAACTGCAAAGAATTGTTCTTATTTCCAAACGAAATGCGCCGGCTTCTTCAACCAAGTTGTCGGCTTGAATTCGAAGCAACAAGAATCTGAGGAGGAGATTTCTTTCCTGAAACGAGCACGTGAAAACCTACGTGCACAACTTGCTGAGAAAGACGCCATGATGAGAGATTCTGTAAGTTTGTTAAGTTTTAAATACTCTATATAACAACAACACAACAGCGACAAAAATGTTCCAAAGAATAGGAATCAGAACTACATAAACACAAAAAACATCCACGATTTAGCATATTTTTCTTTCCGCAGTTGAGGGGGTATGAAGATGACTTGGAAATGGCGCAACAAGAAAGTGGAAGGCTCAGACGTGAAAATCAATCACATACAGTAACAATACGCGACTTGGAAAGCGAGGTATTGAGATTATCCCAATATGTGCATGTCTGAAACAATGTAATCAGTTAAAAAAAACCCTAAATTTTAGGTTTATATAGACAATCAAATTCATTACTAAAAGTGCAATTCTTTTTTTTCAGATTCAACGCCTTAACAGAATGTTGGATGAAGAAAGAATCCTCATGGTAAAGTATATATAATAATTTTCAAATAATGTAGTTTGCAGCTAATAGGGGGCATTTCTAAATTCTCAAGATTTATTTTTCGTATTTCAAAGATAATAACTAAATAATATTAGCGATATCCGTATTGATGGTCCAACACGTTAATTGACCAATCAAGACACATGTTGCAAACATGATATAAATCAACTGTTCAACCATTATTTGATATTAATTTATAATGTGTTATCTATATATAGAGGCGGATTCCTGTTCAAGATGGATCATTGTTCTGATCACATGTAAGAACTTATTCACCGGGATTTTACTGTATTAACATGTAGGTTAAATACTTTGTATTCACAAAAGGCAAACGGTAGATTCCTTATTCTTAAGAGTTAAGTGTAGGTTTGATTCCTTGTTTTAATCCTTTGCGAAACGTTTGTATATCTATCAATAAAACGATCTACTTGATTCTTGAAATTTGCGTCCAAGTTTGTGTTGAGCACTATATATATATATATATATATATATATATATATATATATATATATATATATATATATATATATATATATATATATATATATATATATATATTATATATAAAGTACTCCTTTTCGATTCAATAACTTAAAAAGTAAAAGAGCTCTTACACTTAAACAAGTGAAGAGGCATTGTATTCAATCAGTAATGTCTAACTTAAATTTTGGTATATACCATGTGCATTTTAATGCAGTATTGACTGAGATTTAAATTCGAGTTAACGTTTCTGGAAATATCGAATTTCATGTCCCCCAACAAGAAATGCAATTCCTTGCCCGTGTGAGCATGCAGTCGAAGGAATTTCGGATCACCTGCATGGGGATGCGGTATGCTGTTACAATTGCCTCACGAAGCTCTCTCAAATTATTTGGTTGTTGATCATGTGGCACATTTCAAATTTGATGCTTCAAGTAACCCCAAAGAAATGATTTACATTGCTAACGAAACATCGCTGTGCATGAAAAGAGTGGCGTTTGACCGGGCTTTAGCATGCATCTGATGGTATTAAATAGTCCATTGATGGTAAAACTGACGAAGATCCATCTATTCTAGCGGACTAAAACCACTGCTGCCTAAAACCCATAGAGACGAGTGCGGAGGAGGCTAGATCTGTTCACACTGATCAAAAGCGTTGCAATACTGTCAATACTCAACACAACGCGTTGTGTTTTCCACGACAAAAAAACCCGGCAAAAGATATATAAAATTGCAATACTATAATACATGAGGCATTGGCGGTGGACGATCAGTTTCAAAAGCCGGCTATGTTTCAGGCCATTCCGCCAACCATGCTACTAGATTGTGCAATGACAAAGTTCTTTTGTGTAGTGTTACGCAACAGCTATATGACACCTGCATATATATGTAAATATTGCATGATACAAGAATCGAGATCGGGCATACTGAAATTTGCATTGCGGTCACAATGAGGACCCATGAAATCGGATAAATTCTACCAGAACCGCACAGCCAGGCTATGGAACGAACGGAATCGGACGAATTTGCTTACGATTCCGAAATCGTCCTGTCTGGTGTGAACGTTGTCTAAAAGATTTAAGAAATAATTAATATATATATATATATATATATACGCTTTAATAATAATATTTACCATTTCATTTGTTGATGTTTCTCTTTAGTGCACGAACTTTTCCATATTTCGTCCTGAACGACGGTGCTACCCTTCTGAAATTGATCATAAGTCGCTGGCGAAATATTCGAGTGCGCTGATTTTGCTCGTTGACGGTTCGGCGGACTAGAGGCGCATTTAGCGTGATACTGACTCGGCGTTTGCTCGGGAAAGCGATACGGTGCTGAGGTAACTCGATTCCGTAGAGCCATTGAATGAGATTGATGTATAAGTATTAGACACCCCAAAAAGCAATGTTGTTTTGCGACAATTTATGAATTTTATTAGCACTTAAAATTCAGAAGTTTCAATTTAAACGATCAATTTTAGAATCATTCGATACTTTCACCCATATTGCACAGACGCGTGCATGTATACTATATCCCGTGTCATGGCAACACAATGGGCATTCGGTTTCCAAAGAAACTGTCCCTGGCCTCAATAACCTGTTGGCGGTATAATTATAGTTGCTTTTAAAGCTCTACTTTCTTCCGTACAGCTTTCGATTCTCCACACGAAACCTTTCGACTTAAAAATAGAAGAATAAAATTTATTAAAAATGAGAGTTTTCATCAATAGATGTGAAATATTAAATTGTTCCGTTTATAGCAAGGAGATTTGTTAGTATTTAATTGCTTTTCTAAAGAAATAAGAAACTAAAGAAAGAACGAATGGGCCCGAATCAACAGTCACAAGAGGAAAGAGCTTGGGAACGAGGTTGAATGAATTTGCGGCCAAATATCCCATACTTGATTAGTTCACTGGATCTTGTCAGGAAAGTGACGCACAACAAAAATCGCCAGTATAAGCAATTTTTAAGTAAAGAGCAAGTTTTCCACATCATTTTTCATCATCATGTTGGTATGAAGATGCATGATTATTTTATTAATTTTCATACGCTCAGAGCCCGTTCACACGATACCGGCAGAGTTTGAAAACGGAACGAAAAACACGATGCCGGTATGAAAAAATGTGAAACCGTAACGCTACCCGTAAGAGTTTGAAAACGCGGTATGCTAACCGTAAGAGTTTGAAAGCGGAACGAAATTTTACCGTCAGAGTGCCGTGTGAGCGCCTAACCGTGAGAATTTCATTACGATTTACGGTTATGCAAAATGAAATTAACAAAACTGCAAAAGTTGTTGTTGGATATTCTGTTCTGTCTATTTTAACTGATTTGGACATTGTCAAAGCGGAATATAATCTGCCGGTATCGTGTGAACAGTTGAAACCGTGATGATTTTCTGCCGGCAGATTTCATGCCGGTATCGTGTGAACGGGGTCTCAAGCCCTGGGCAAACTAGGAAACATTGTTTCCTGCCAATGTTTCGCCATGTTTCCCAGAGTGGGCAAACACTAGGAAACATTATAGTGAGAAAAATAGGGAAACATCAAATGTTTCTTAATTTGCTAGGAAACATTTTTGCTTCTTGGGAAGCAAATTTTGTTTCTGCAACAATGTTTCCACGGGTGGGCAAACCGGGAAACATTTGAAGAAACATCGAGAATCACAAATGTTTCCACAACAATGTTTCCTAGTTTGCCCAGGGCTCCAGTCTCATACGTTTTCTCATACGCAATAGTGTGGCAGGGCCTTTAGAAAAGTTACCTTTCTTTGTCAACGCCTGCATGGGTATATATAGACTTGCCACAAGTCAACCTCGAACGAAACGCAAGCAGCGAGCGCGAGCGACTCGCCTCGCGCGAGCGACTTCGTTCGAGGCCGACTTGTGGCAAGTCGAGGGGACTGTGATTTGGATGAAATGAGGATGAGAGTGCGTGAGGGTTGGCAGTCACGCGATCTTCGTTATCTGTTCAGTTATCTATCATGTATTGCAGAGCAAGCTAATAAATCGTAGTTGGAAACGCATCAAACTATTATCTTGTTAAAGTGCTTATGAAACGAAATTTTCACCTCATTTTTTATTGCTTTGCTAAAAAGTACTGCTAGAGCGATGAAGAATGACGTTTACAGTTTCTTCATATCTCATCTCATTCTCAAGTTATCGCACTTTCCAAATTTCGAGTTGTGACGTCACTAGTTTGACTTGAGATAATGGCAATAACAAGAAAGTCTGATATCTTAGTGAGTATTTAATAAAATTCAATGAAACTCGGTACACTTAGTGGGTGCACCCATATGAATATTTTTGGAAGGTCATGTGGTTGTCATGGCAACACACTAGTGCCCAATCTCTTCTCTTCCTTTTCACAAATTTCCTCCCGTAGACCTCTTGCAGAGGATGTTTGTATGTTATAACGGTTTAAACTGGTCACAATACCGATACGTATGATAGTAATAAGCGACAATTGCAGAAATTACCATTTATTTCGTTGGAAATGGATCATATAGAAATTGGAAGAGAGGGGACTGGTGACGAGTGTGTTGCCATAACAACCATATAAACAAGCCAAATTGTTCACTTCGTTGCACGCACCAAGTGTGCCAAGTTTCATTGAATTTTATTAAATGATCATCAAGATATCAGATTTTCTTGTTTTGCCACTATTTTGAGTCAAACTAGTGACGTCACAACTCAAAATATAGAAAGTGCGATAACTTGGGAATGAGATACGAACAAACTGTAAACGTCATTCTTCATCATTTAAGCAGTACCTTTTAATAAGACAATAAAAAATGAGGTAAAAATTTCGTTTCATAAGCACTTTAATCGGTTGAAATGTCAACTGTAACAATTTGTGACCGTCTCATGACTTTCAACACGGCCGGTAAAAATGTTTTACAGCGCCCTGCTCTCATCAACTTTCATCCTCGTTTGTGTAAATCAGGACTGGTTGGCATTGATTTTTTTGGCAACCTTGTCATAGGACGCATAGCTGTCATAAAAACCGGATGTGTTAAAACAGCGCCCTGTCGGTCAATCTCGTACCCAGTGCAATGTCTGTGCGCGGGCTAGGATGGCATTGGCTCTGGGGAAATTGACAACCGGAACCCCTAAATTTAGGGGTTCCGGTTCTTTGTCGGCATGCAACGATTGATAAACGTTAAACCAATCACAGCACGGGAAAAATTCAATTTCCCCAGAGCCAATGCCATCCCAGCCCGCGCACAGGCATTGCTCTGGGGACAAAAACTTAACAGAGCTAGCTCATCTTTTTTCTTGCCACTAGCTAGAGGGCTCTTATCAGATAAAGAAGGGGAAAACGGCTGAAATACGGAGGAGAAAGAGCACATCCAGTTATTTCTACATTCTTTCCGTCTTTCACCGTCTTACTTCGGAAAGTATTTAACTATTAAATGGTAGCCGTAGCCTGGCTAAAGATACCCTGGTTCCAGAGGTTTATTTTTGTTATTTTCATTGCGAAGGGGAGAGGAAAAATAAACCTCTGGTTGAAAGCGGCAATTGATTCATCGAGCCGCGCCAATCAGTTTGAATTAAGGTCAGATCCTGACTCTGTCTCCTGATTGGATGATTGTATTAAAGCTCTCTGATTGATTCAAATAAAACATCCATAACCAATCAGAGAGCTTGAATCCAATCATCCAATCAGGAGACAGAGTCAGGATCTGACCCTAATTTAAACTGATTGGCGCGGCTCGATGAATCAATTGCCGCTTTCAACCAGAGGTTTATTTTAAACCTCTGGAACCAGGGTAGGCTAAAGAGTACATAGCCCATCTTGCAATGTTGTCATGTTGATGTCAACTTTTAATCGTAGTATGTTTTTTTCTGCCTTTGTGACGTGCAGTATTGGACCGACGAGGTTCCTTTCACTGATCTGATAATGTATAAAATTTCGACCTCACTTTCGGACCAATATTAAAATAATTACAAATTATAAGCTACTAAAGAAAGTGTATGTATGATGAATTCAAGAAATTTAAAAATATTTTAATTTCCCCCAAAAGCCTATTTATGTATGTAATAATAAAACCGGGTTAACTGTTCCATGCACTCAGAGCCAAACTGAAAAAAAAATATTTTAAGGCATTTTGATGTAAAACTTTCTAATCATTAGAAAATATATACTGACGGCAGAAACTATTTACTGTAGAATACGTAAAACCATAATTACCATATTTGGAACGATTTAAACACGTCACGCTTGTTGTTCATGCGACATGCGCACTGGACATGCGTCATTCTATGTCATTCTGGCCAGTGTTTCCACAATGAAATTACAAGAATTCCTGTTCACTGTGTAAAATTTCCTGAAACTTCCTACAAATAACCTGGGTTTTTCCTGAAAAATTCCTCATAATTTTTAATGTTTTTTTTTTTGCTAGTTCTTTTCAGTTTAATTAAGGCAACAAACTCTCTCCTTCGCAGAGACTTTTTGTTTTATTGAACAATGTTTTGCTGCCCATGTTGTTCATAGCTGGCTGTCAACAATATTGAACAATGTTGTTACACCCGATTCAGGCTCAACAACATTGTTCAATATTGTTGACAAGTGTGAACAACGTGGGCAGCAAAACATTGTTCAGTCCTGTTGAGCAGCGGGCTCGGCGTTTTTTGCCGTGTAGTAGTTGAGCACTTATTAAAATATATGTAAGTCAACATCTTTTTGAAGAATTTCCTTAGATTTCTCGAATTTTGGCAGATTTCCTGAATTTTCCTTTATCCTGATTTTTCCTTTTCGATAGTAAAATTTCTTGAAATCAGAAAATTTCCCGCAATGTGGAAACACTGATTCTGGCAATACTGGCATTATTGTCATAGTTATTGTGTCATAGAAAAATTTGTGTCGCAGTCCTAGAAAGATCCAGAGCAAACGGCACGAATTTCCAACTTTTGAGATTTTAAATATTATACTTCGAATTTGCGAAGTGATTTTTCAGTTTAACGAAATATTAAATATATGCTTTATATGTCAGCATGTCCGACGTACAAAGTAAAGCACAAGTATTGAACTTAAAACAACTCAACGCCAACGATTTCAAACGTATTATCGCTCTTCAACGCCGAGAAATTCTGGGCAAAAGTGAACGGCTTAGAGGAGTGGAGGACTTGACAAGAATATGCAGTGAATTGGAAGAAAAACGGCAGAGTTGGCAGACAAAGGCAAACAATAATGAAAATGCTTTAAGACAAGCGGAAGCAACGATTGCAAATTTGAAGAAGAAGCTTGGAATTGGCTCTCAAACGACTTTTGGTATTGATGTAGTCAATCCTGAGATTTCAAGAAAAGATTTCAACGCAGTTACCAAAGAGAATATCAGGTTAAAAGAAGCGCTGGAACATATTGTACCGACCGAATTGGGCGGCAAAGATGTGGTCATTGTAAGTATAAAACAATTCGATACCGGACTTTGTGGTCAATTCGTAAAAAATCCGTTTAAAGGGTTAAATTCATCCTATTATGACCTTCTTTGAGAAACTTAGTTGTGAAAATCGAGAGATACCCATCTCTATGGATACATTTAATGAAGCAGAAAAGTGCAAATTTAAACTAGAAAATTCGTTGAATGTGAAAAATTCGTTTGAATGCGAAGCTGGGGAAAATATGGTAATTGCTAGATAGTATTACTTGCCCTGGGGAAATCCCATTCCCACAATACACTGGTACTTTCGCCTAAATTCAGGTTTTCACTTTCGAGTTTATACAGGTTATTTATTCCTTTATTGGCAATATCCTGTTATTAATATTCTTGATTAGAACTGGTTTTAATGTGGGATCCTGTTTTTCGAGCCATTACGCATTCGAGGAATCTTACCTAAATGCTAGAGGAAATTTAATTGCCTAACCTTGTATTGAGGGTCTTGCCATCCTGCATGTCCAACTCATTAGGGTTGTGGTAGGACTACATAAGCCAGATTGATTCTGACAGGTGAAATTATGTTATAACTAGAAGTTACTATCGCAAGGAAAATGCTGCCTCACCCCAAGGGATGGCACCATGTGCAATTTGCTGAATAAGGGTCTGTGTATACGATCCCGCTTCGCCAGGACGAGATATGAGGCAGGTTGATTTCGATGTATTGAAATGAGTCACAGTGCACAATTCAGCAAAAAACATTACTTTTCTAGAGATAGATTATAGTTACTGTAAATGAAAGGTTGTTCAAGCAGCAATTATAATCTTTTTGAACTACAAGATCTTGTCTACAATATTTGAGTTAGAACTGTTAACAAGCATTTGAACTTTTGTTTAGCCTATAGTGACTTATTCCAATACATCAAAAATCATCCCAACTTCCATCATGTAAACAGGAAAAGTGGAAAGATCAGCTAAATGTATATGAATACATTCAATGCTTATAACTTCTTGCTTTTGTATGTATAATTATAACACTGTCAGCCTGTGAAGCTGACATAGCAACAGGTCACGCTATGTAAGCTTTTAATATAATGATTTGCATTATTCAAATAGATACAGGTTTATTGGCATGGCATGACCAGTTGCCATGGTAGCTAGCTTGCCACTGAATACTGTACAAAATCATTCTATATATAAACGATAATACTTGAATGAATCATTTGACATGTAGAATTTAATAATAATTCCATATATAGAAATATTAAGTCAGTTTTTGTTCCAATTATCGTTTTAATGCAATAACGACACCTTCAAGGCTACCCCTATTCCAAAACAACTGAACAATCTGCTGATGCTTGATGGAGAGAGTTTCAGCCCGGGCTGAAATTTCGGCCTGGTTTGAGCTGCCCAGGCTGAAATTTCAGCCCGGGCTGAAAAAACAACCGTTTAAATGGCTTTATTTTGCATGTTTGTTTCATCTTTAAATACTTTACATATAACCACAGTCTCACACTGCGTGTTTGTTTCATCTTTAAATACTTTACATATAACCACAGTCTCACACAAGTCAAATAGTCAACTAATCAGCATCTGATTGCTTCAAAGAAGCATAACAGGCTTATTGTCCTATTTCGTGACACTCAGATTATTTCACTCAGCCCGGTCTGACATTTCAGCCCGGGTTGACTATAAACATAGCTCTGACTAAACTCAGTCCGGGCTCAAACTGCTCACGTAATCGTGATGCAATTTCAGCTCATTTTAATAACCCGGCTGAAACTCAGCCCGGGCTGAAAACTCTCCATGTAATCAGCCCCTAAGATTGTACTCAGTCAGAACTGCAAAACTAAAAAATACGATTGTGAGCTTTATCAAAAAATATAGTATACTCTGTCTCTGAGTACTGCAGTGACAGCCAGGTGAATATATAAATGTAGGCTGGTAGGATAATTTCATATTATGCTATTAAACAATGGACATATCTCAGAGATACATTTTTACAGACCGTCATACCTTTTACAAACGTCGGTTGACATGTTATTTACATGTAACTGCTGGTAAGTTAATATGTGCAGACAACAATCCACACTGCATGGGTTGCAAAGGGACTATCTTTGTGCAAGACAGACAATTTTACGATACTGCTCAATGCCTCAATTGATATTGCCAAAATAACAATAATAAACTCTCTCTGTGATTATTTATCCCTTAGAAGTACGATGTTCCATCAAGCCTACGATCAAGCTCAATCAGATTTTTTACAAACTGATAAATATCGACGAAGTCCACTTGTTTACTATGAAGACTTGTATGCACCTAAAAATGTAATAATTTAAATACAGTTAATTCATTCGCTTCAAGTTTCAACGCGTATCGACCAATACACATTGTTATTTGTGATCACACTTTCATCTTACCTTGAAA